GTCAATAACTGTTGCTCTATTTTGGAGAGAAAATGTGAGAGAAGGAAGGAGAAGCCTTCTCTAGCATCAAGATGGATTCATTCAGCAACCCTCACCCCAAATATAGATATGAGGTGTTCCCCACACCTACTCCATTGGCGGGGCGGGGGTCCTATGAACTCCTATGCGTTCATAGGAGTACTGTATGCTTTGGGCAACAAAATGGAAGAGAGAGGATGGTCTGCACGTTGTCCTAGGCAATCAGTAGGGGAGGGTCCTGGAGGAATGAAGTCCTCACGGACCCCAAGGGAGGGCAGTTGTCAGAGTGCCATGGCGCAGGTAGTAGAGACATTCCCCTGAATGAAAGGAGAAGCTATAGGTGATGGCTCCGTTTCCAAGCAGTTCTTGGGCCCTGTATAAACAGCCCTCTTGGTGGTTCTTTCTCAGATCTACCTGCCCAGCTTTTCTAGTGCAATGTATGCTCTCTCTTCTTGAACATTTTCTAGCTCCCAATCCAGCCCCCACCTCTCTGCTTCCTTTTTCCTCCATCTTCTTGTTTCCTTGTGGCCTTAGATAAAACCTGTCTTTAGCTTCTTGCCTTCCCTAGGGATATTTCTTTCCCTTTGCAAAACAGTGGTCCTGTTCCATCAGGATAGACTGCCCACCCCAGATGTGGGGAGCATGGGAAAATTTATAATAACGTAGTAATTTTTTACTCATTATACAATCATAAAATAAAGGTGCAAAATGTAAATATTCATTTGAGGGTAGAGAAGAGGGACCTGCCTAGTTTCTTTTGGCTTCCTTCCTTTACCGTCACTCTGGTGTTTTAGTGTTATACCCACCTATTCTTTCTTTGGGCCTCTAGGGGACAAAAACAGGTAATGGCCAATTGATCAAAAGTAATATGGCACAACAAATCAGAACTATTGAAATGCTATGGCTCCCCAGATATTCTTGGATGACATCAAACAGCAGGACCAGATCAGAGAGAGTTGGCTACCCATTGCATCCAGCATAAATTACGATAGGTGAATATTCATTAAATATAGAATTGATGATACTCTAAAAGAAATTTGATGTAAATCAAGTTTTATTTATTGTCAATATTCCTCTGTTATGTAATACAGTAATATATGAGGTACTTAGACTCCAGCTTGCTGAATCTCACAGACTCCTGGAATGGTTCCAGATCAGGTTGAGTATCCATTAGTTATTGCTACATACGAAATACTCCCAAACTAAGTGGCTTCCAACAAACATCATTATTTCTCTCTATCCTGGGGTGAGGTGCAGGGGCTGGCTGATCTTCACCGGGCATTGCTGTCTGAGGGTTTCCTGGGGCCTCCGCTCTAGGTTGGCTTATCTGGAATATCTTACCTGGAACAGGTAACATGTGTTCCATGGACCATGTGTTCCATGTGTCAGTTATCCTCCTGAGACAAGCAGACATGCTTGAGTATGTCTTTCTCATGGAAATAGAAGGCATCCAAGAAAGCAAGCATAAATACTAAAGTCTTTTTGAGACCTAAGCTAAGAACTGGTCCACTATTCTGGCAATTATTTCACTTAACTGGCGAAAGCAAATCACATGGTCAAACTCAAATTCAAAGGTGGAGGGGAGATTCTGCCCCTTTAGTGAAGGGAACCACAAAGTCACATGACAAAGGATGTGGATACAGGATGGATAAAGGACTGGGGCCATTAATGTGATTTCTACAGCATCTAATAGATATAATGATCAAAGGACTAAACATTAGATTACTACGTTTACTATAATTAGATTACTAAACATTAGATTACTATGTTTACTAAAATTTCTATGTTATTATAAATTTTCCCATGCCATAGGATTTAGTCGATTCATTGCCTGGAAGAAAACAGCTCTATTATTGAAAGAAATTATATATACTTATATATGTATATGTATGTGTATGTATATATATGTATATATACATATGTCATATGTATGTGTGTATATATGTGTGTGTGTATGTGTGTGTGTGTATATATATATGTATATATAGAGAGAGAGAAAGAGAGAAAGAGAGACTGAGAGAGAGAGAGATACTCTTACAACCGAAATCATAAAATCGAGAGAGAAGAAAAGAAAAAACAAGAACACAAAGAAAGGGCAAAGAGGAGCAAAGACAGCAGTGGCAGTGATGGTAAAGATGAGAAGACATTAGCAGGACCTGAAGACCTGAAGCATACATGTACAGTAACGAGAATATACTGATGATGTCACAGAAATTCTTTTTTTCTTTTAAGTGTACAATTCAACAGTACGTCTTATATATATTCACCTCCCAAAGTTAGATTTCCTTCTGTCACCGAATATCTGCCCCCTTCTACACTTATCTACCTTCCCCTTCACTCACTTCCCTCTGATAACCATTAATCCACAGTCTGTTTTATATCCCACATATGAGTGAAATGGTTTCCAACTCCTGTCAGCTTAAGAAATTATCTTTCTAATTTGAACCATTGTTTTTAAACAGTGAGATGTCACATAAAAGTCTCAATTTCTGGCTTTTCTTGAAAAATCAGAAGCTCTCCAACACTGGGTCCACCTTCCACAAGGTTCCACAGTTCTCCAGTACTCAGGAGTGGCTGCTCACTGCTCTGTCCATTCATTTACTTTATCTCTTTAGTCCTTGGGGCCATTTGTGTTTACTTTACATGCAAATAATTCTACTAGTTTCTGTTTCCTTAGTTTCAGATAGGCTTCTGGAATGCTCATTACTTATAAATTTCACATCTGTAATGGATGCATTGTAGGCACTTCAAACTAAACATTACAACAAAATCACAAATAAAACATCTCACCCTCCCCAATCCACATACTCTTCTCCTCCAGTAGTCTTTACTTCCTTTGTCCGAGCTAGAAACTTATCCATCACTTCAGTGACTTTCTCTGTCAAATATATTAGAAACTATTACTTCATTCACAATAAAACTATGGAGTGCCTAGGAAATAATCTTAGAAAGAATGCTCAAGACCTTTATCAGAGGAAATATTAAAGCTCTAGTAAAGTATTAAATAGAATGGTTAATGGAGCAAAAAAAAAGAATGTATGTGGATCTGATATCTCAACATAGTAAAGCTTTATGTTAATTCTTCCTAAATTTTTTTTTTTTTTTAGGCGAGGCAGTCCTTGACCTCACAGATTGCAAGGACCTTGTCAGCTTACAATCCCTTATTTTTTTATTTTTTCGCCTACAGCACCTGGTCTTCCTAGGTGGTCTCCCATTCAAGTACTAACCAGGCCCGTCCCTGCTTAGATGGGATCAGGCTTGTTCAGGGTAGCATGGCTGTAGACACAAAGCAATCTTAATAAGAATTTCATTGGATTTTTGGAGGAACTCAATAAACTCATTCTAACATTTATATGGAAAAATAGAGGTTCATGAATGTCAATTTTGAAAAATAAGAGCAGAGTGGGAACTTGCTCTGCTAGATATTAAGACATACTACAAAACCAAAGTAATGAAAATAGGATGGTTCTGCATAGGAACAGACTAATATACAAACAGAACAGAATAGAGCACTCAGAAATAGACTGACGTGTATACACATATGGGAACTTGACAGATGATAAAGATGGTACTTCAAAGCAATGTAAAGAGAAGGTCTCAAGAAAACAAGGTCATTATGTGGAAAGATACATCTGAATCTCTCCAGTTGGAATAGAGAATTAAATGTGAAAGTTAATATTATAAAGTTATAGAAAAAATATGACTCAGGGTGGAAAAACACTTCATGAATAAGACTCAAAATCCCAAATCATAAAACATATAAAATAAAATGAAGTTAAATAAGATTGTTTTGACTACATAAAAATTAAGGATTTCTGTTCAATAAGACACCATAGATGAAATTAACAGATATATGACAGACTGGGAGATGTCTCCAATATCTAAAACTGATAAAAGGATTGATATCTAGATTGTAGAAAGAACTGCAAAAGAATAAGAAATAGGCAAAAAGATATGACTTGGGTCAAAGAAGAACAAGTCCAAATAGCCATTTCAACAAATACATGAAATCCTCTGGTAATTGTAAAAGTGAAAATTAAAACAATTATGAAATATTTCATTATATTAATAAAAATTGCCAAAAGAAATACAAGTGTTTAATATTATGTATTAGAGAGGACGTGGAGGACACAGAACTGTGTAGTTGGTGAGGGTGTAAAGTTGTGCAGCCATTCTGTAAAGCAATCTAGAGGAACATAGTGAAATTAAATGTTTGTCCTGTGACCCAGAGATCGCATGCCTACATAATCTAAAGAAATGAATGTAAAGGTCAATAAAGTGGCATGAACAAGGATCTTCGTTGTGCTGTACATTGTGTTAACGGACGTGTAGAACACTAAGATGTTGAAGACTAGGGGAATGGATGAGTAAAACGCAGTATACATATACCTTGGAATACTACGTTGCACTTAGATGTATATATAGCAATATATATGAATTTTAAAAACTTTTTAACCAAATAATATTTATGTAAAAGAAATATACATGAAACATATAAGTATAGATTTATATTTAAGGACATACATCAGACACGTGAGAGTAGGTGCCAATATTGACAGGAGATAATACGACTGAGGAATTGGGATATAGAGCCATAATAAAACCCAACTACCCCCACCCCCCGCCAAAAAAAAAACACTCCCCTCCCTAAAAACGAAAAAGAGCCTTCCATGAGGAAGTGTTTACGATGTGTTGTGAACTAAGGAGTGTGATTACAATCTGAGGTCCAAACTAATAACTAAGAAAAAAAATTATAAAAAATTAATTGTGAAGGATGTCAAGCAGTATCCTCCATAAGGACACAAGCTTGAGACCAGAGAGTGTCTCAAGCACTCCGGGGCTTCTCTAGCACTCCGGGACTTCGGTAGCCACTTTCCCACACCCTTACGCAGAGCTCCGTTCCCCGACAGCCGGCGGGAAGTGCGCATGTGCACTACGAGGCCTTTCCCGCTTCCCGTAGCTTCCCTTCCCGTCTCAGCCCCGCCCACCGCCGGCGCCATCGTTTCCGGTTCAGCCCGAGAGCTACCCTGACGCTTTGGCCTTTGCTTCCTTGGCCCTCCCACTTCTCCAAAGCTGCGGTTGTCTAGGTCGCTGGGGAAGGTAGTTATAAATAAAGTTTTCCTGTTTCAAAGCTGGGCGGATTGGGCTGGGCGCCTTCCCCTTGCTTGTCCACAGTTCCTCTCGGCTCCTGGCAGCGAGCTTAAGGGCGTCATGGCCAGGGGCCGGCGCGGCCGGGCTGGAATGAGTCCGCCTTTCTCTACCCGCGCGCTCCCGTGGCTTCTAGGCCCGCCGGCGTCCGCCTCAGTCTGAGTTACAGCCCTTTCGCGCCCACGGGCTGCCTCGCGCCGGACCCCATGGCCTCCGAGGCGCCTTCGTTGTCACCATCGCCACCCACCTCCCCCGAGCCTGAGCTGGCCCAGTTGAGGCGGAAGGTAGAGAAGTTGGAACGCGAGCTGCGGAGCTGCAAGCGGCAGGTGCGGGAGATTGAGAAGCTGCTGCATCACACGGAGCGTCTGTACCAGAGCGCCGAAAGCAACAACCAGGAGCTCCGCAGCCAGGTGCGCGGTTCGCGTCCAGCCCTTTGCCCCATCCAGCTTGGAAGCTTTTAATAGTCTCAAAAGGGCTTCCTGGCAGGGGCCCAGAACTACTTTACAGAGTACTTAAATAAAAATTTAGTGCGATTGTAGTTCCACGTATATTTGGCACAACTTTAGAGTTGGGGTTACTCGATTTAAATAAACGCATAAGCAAAAAAGTAGAAGTTAGGTTGGCGTAAGTTGAACTTCAGTACTTTAGATTGTCTTCATTATCACTCGTAACGTCCCATTGGCAGTAGGCACGTTAACAATCTTTATTGTAGATTACTTTTGAGTTTGTTAAAGCACTGGACTTGATCAGAATCCCATCTGTCACTTATTAGATATGTAAACTGAGCCTCGGTTGCCCGTAAAATGAGAATGCTAGCACTACACAAGTGAAGGTTAAATCAAATTAAGCGTGAACAAACAACACAGTTTTACAAACGAACATTTATGTGTAAGGTGGTTATGGGCGTTTATCATCTTGAGTTTTCCAGTGAAAGTAGGAAGGATATAATTGTTAGACACAAGAAGCAGCTAACTTCATTTCTACGAAACCCAATAAGGACAAATATTTAAACTTTACTTTTTTTTTAAATGTTAAACAGAAGCATTGTACTTTTTTCCCAACTTGATTTGTTGGGCAGTTACCCTCTCCTGACGTTATTTCCACATAATTATTAAACTGTTGTCCTTTGTCTCTTCAGATTTCTCACTTGTAAAATGGGGATTAATGCAACTAATTTGTAAGGCAGTTGTAAGAATTAATAAGATGTTATCCAAAGTACCAAGTATAATACCTAGCAGGTAGCAGATACTAAGTAAATGATCTCATTCACAGTAATAATGGTTACTAGCGGAGCCAGGACTGGGCAAGTCAATCAATAGTCTAAGGTGAGAAATTTAGAGGGCACTAATTCTCAGGTATAGACCCTACACTTGCAAGAGGCTGAGACTGAGTGCCTCCTGAAATTTCCTTCCTGGGTGCCTTGCTTGCTTCACCCTAGTTGTACCAGCAGATCTGATAACTTGTGAAGTGCCTAGATAATATAATATAATCAGTCTTATCACCTTTCTCTTTTTAAGCTCTATGTATCATTTAAGAAATATTTAGATGCTTATTTTTAAGTAAGTCTAATACTGAGATTCTGTCCCACTGAGGCGTATTGACAAGGCTGCTCCTCATTTACTTTTGGGTATTTCCACGCTGTCGCTCTGGCTTTGGCATTCATTGAGGCAAAGGGAGGATAGATGCCCCTCTGAGCGAGCAATCACCTGTTTATTCTGCTGCAGTTGTTTAGTTATGACTGCTATTTAAAGGGAAAAAACATACATTAAAGTATGTGAGTGCCATTAATATATTTAAGTGAATAGTTAATTTCAGGTGTAAGAATGGTACTGAATGATTCATAGTTTAACAAATGGAAGTTATTTTTCTAATTCTTTAGGGAGAACTGCTGACGAATTAAAATATTAGTATAAAAACATTCTTATTTATTAGAAATAAAGGATCCTGTTCGTAAACTATTAATTTAGTAAATCTGATTGAATTAAAATATTAGTATAAAATCATTCTTATTTATTAGAAATGATCCTGTTCATAAACTATTAATTTAGTAAATCTGATTTTTGAAGAGGATATTTTAAGGTTTAGGAAGAGAGTACAAGGATAAAAGCATCTCCCTCTGCAAATGTAAAAGTTGAAAGTCAATTATAGGACTTTTAGTTTTTTTGAAAAGGAAACTAGCTGCTGTAGGTACTTCTCTAAAACTTTTAGCAAAAAAAGTTACTGTAATTTCAGAGGAATGGTGTGCGTACTATTAGATTGCTATATGATTTATTTTTCCTAAAGCCTTGTTTCCTTTCAGGTAGAAGAGCTCAGTAAAATACTCCATTGTGGGAGAAACGAAGATAATAAAAAATCTGATGTAGAAGTACAAACAGAGAACCACCCTCCTTGGTCAATCTCAGGTATTCACTTGATAATGGAGATATCCTGACACTATCACATTCAAATTTTGCTAATGTGGAGTTTTCTTTAAATTTAAAATAGACAAACATCTAGATAATGCGAACCGTTATAATGTCTTCTCTCCATATGATTAGGTATTTTCAGAGAATCTATTTGCTCTTCTGATGGGAAAGTAGAAATTGCTACTATGTTTTCAGTGGCACATTCACTAAGTAATTTTTGCCATGCTGTTAGCCATCTATTCATATTTGGTCTTCCTTCCTTTTTTTTTTTTCCTTGAAATGGTCCATTCTTTAAAAAAGTAATGTTTTATTTTTCAATTACAGTTGACATACAATGTTCTATTAGTTTCCAATGTATGATATAGTGATTACACATTTATATAACTGAGTGATCACCTTGATTATCTAGTACCCATCTGACATTATACATAGTTATTACAGTATTTTTGATTATAATCCCTGTGTTATATTTTACATGGCTGTAACTATTTGGTAACTACCAATTTGTTCTTAATCCCCTTTACCCATCTCCCAAACCCCCTTTCATCTGGCAGCCATACAGAATTCTCTATGAGTTTGTTTCTGTTTGTTCACTTATTTTGTTTTTTAGGTTCCACTTATAAGTGAATTTGTCTTTGTCTGACTTATTTCACTTAGCATAATACCCTCTAGATCCATCCATGTTGTTGCAGATGGCAAGATTCATTCTTTTTTTTTTTTTTATGGCTGAGTAATATTCCATTGTACATATGTACTACTTCTTCCTTATCCAGGACCTATTGATAGACATTTATTTAGGTTGCTTCCATATCTTGTCTATTGTAAATAATGCTGCAGTGAACGTATGAATGCGTATGTTTTTTCGAATTAGTGTTTTGGGTTTCTTCAGATAAGTATACGTAAGTGGGATTACTGGGTCCTTTTTTTTTCTTGTTATAGCCTTTGTATTAAGGTCTGATTTGTCTGGTAAAAGTTTTGCTACACCAGCATTTTTTTCTTTTTGAGGAATATCTTTCCCATACCTTTACTTTCAGTCTGCGAGTCTTCGATCTAAAATGAGTCTCTTGTAGGCAGCATTTGTATGGGTCTTGTTTTCTTACCTATTCAGCCTCCTGTCTTTTGATTGGAACATTTAGTCCATTTACATTTAAAGTAATTGTTGATAGATTTGTAGTTATTGCCATTTCATAATTAATATTTTTGATCTTTTTTCTTCTTAAAGAAGTTCCTCCAACATTTCTTGCACAACAGGTTTGGCGATGATGAACTCCTTCAGTTTTTTCTTGTCTGGGAAGCTCTTTATTTGTCCTTTGATTCTGAATGATAGCTTTGCTGGCTAGAGTAATCTTGGTTGTAGGTCCTTACTTTTCATTTCATCACTTTGAGTATTTCCTGCCAATGCCTCTGGCCTGCAAAGTTTCTGTTGAGAAATTAGCTGCCAGTCTTATGGGATCTGCTTTGTAGGTAACTAACTTCTTTTCTCTTGCTGCTTTTAAGATTCTCTCTTTGTCTTTAACCTTTGGAATTTTAATTATGATATGTTTTGGTGTGGACCTCTTTGGGTTCATCTTGTTTGGGACTCTGCTCTTCCTTGGTTTATTTGTCTATTTCCTTTGCCACATTAGGGGAGTTTTCAGTAATTATTCGTTCAATAGGTTTTCAATTCATTGCTCGCTTTCTCTTCTCCTTCTGGTACCCCTATGATGTGAATGTTGGTATTTGATGTTCCAGAGACCTCTTAAACTATCCTCATTTTTTTTTTTTTTTTTGATTCTTTTTTTGTTTCTTGCTATTCTGATTGGGTGTTTTTTGCTTCCTTATCTTCCAAATACTGATTCGATCTTGTGATCTAATCTGTCAATACCTTGTAATGTAGTCTTCATTTCAAATATTATACTCTTTATTTCTGACTAGTTCTTTTTTATGTTTTTTATCTCCATTTTTATGTTTCCTGTTTCTTTGTTGAAGTTCTCACTGAGATCATTGAGCATCCTTATAATCAGTGTTTTGAACTCTGTGGTAAATTGCCTGTCTCCATTTTGTTCACTTCTTTTTCTGGAGTTTTATTCTGTTCTTTCATTTGTGACATGTTTGTCCCATCATTTTGGCTGCCTGTGTTTGTTTCTATGTATTAGGTAGAGCTGCTGTGTCTCCCAGTCTTAGTAGAGGGCCTTATGTCATAGGTGTGCTGTGGGGCTCAGTGGCGCAGTCTGTCTGGTCACCTGAGCTGGGTGCCCTAGGGGTATCCCTTGTGTGGGTTGTGTGTTCTCTCGTAGTTGAGCCTTGATTGCTGTTGGCATGTCAGTGAGAGGGATTGACCCTCAGGCTGATTGGTCGTGAAGACTGGCCATGACTATAGTGGAGGAGCTGTTGTGTAGGGGCTGATTCATGGAGAAGGATTCACTTTAGTGAGGCTCTGGTGCCTGCCAAGTCCCCTTTGGGTGTGTTGTTTGTGGAGTTGGTTGGGTAGTGCTCTGGTCTGGTCTGAAGCTGGCCGCTTGGTGTGGGTTCCAGGGCCTCCTGGGCGGGATTCTGTTGCAGGCCATTGTCTGCTGCTGCCTATGCTCTGCCCAGGGCCACTTGGTATGAACTACAAAGTGATCCGCAGATGGTTGCCACTTATGCTGGGCTTGGAAGTGCTTGGGAGAGGCTAAGCTGTGACCCAAGGCCGGCTGCTACTAGTGCCAGGCTTGGGGCTGCTTAGCAAGAGGAGCATGCTGAGGCTAGATGCTGTTTGTTTGGGGTTCGTGAACCTTTGAGAGATTTTAGGAAAGTGCAGCATGAGCCAAGACAGGCTGTTTGTATGGAAAAGCCACTGGAAAGAACTTGGATGGGCCCACAAATTGGGTGGGGCAAGATCTCAGGGAATCACCAGGCCTGGACAAGGAGTATTAGTCAGGAGACTCAGATATGGTGCTGTTTGGCTGCGTGGCGAGGTGTACTCAACAAAGGAACAAAGGCTTCAGCACTTATATCTGGGAGAAAGCTACCTCTCCAGCCCTTACCCCGAAGTCAGACAATTCAGTTCCTCCCTGGCACTTTTCAAGCTGCTGCCCCAGCTCTGGAGCTCAGAGTGAGTGAGTTCATCAGAGAATAAGTCTTCGCTTGGGCCCTTTAAAAGAAATGCTTGGGCCTCCAGCAGCCCTACTTCTCGCTCAGCCAGAGTTTTCCCACTTCTGATTTTCCTAGCCCGAAGTTATGGAGACTTCTCTTCCCAGCACTGGAATCCTGGACTGGGGAGCCTGGTCTGGGGCTGGGACCCCTTGTTCCTCAGGGGGAATCTCTGCAGCAGAGGCTGCTGTATCACAGACTGGGTTGTGGGACCAGCATGGTCCACAACTCCGTCTCCCCTCCTGGTCTTGACGTGGCTTCTTCTGTATGCCATTAATTACACGACTTCTGTTCAGCGAGAATTCAAGTGGTTTTCAATGATGGTTGTTCTGTAGTTCAGTTTGTAGTGTTGATGTGATCTGGGGCATGCGTTTTCTTGTTGATGTATTCCACTTAGCATTGTGTTCAGTACCAGTTTCTTAGGCCTTTGCATCAGCATTATAAGATAAATTTGACAAAAGAAAAAAATCAGCTCTTGAAGTGTTGTCTTGATTCATTGTCATTTGATACGCAATGATATTAAGGTATGTGGTTAGAAATTGTTATGGTTGCCTAATTTTTTTGACAGAACGTAACCTATCTACTTGTTTTCTTTTTTTAACTCTTGCTAGGAAAAATCTAAATCCGATTACTGTTTTTTTCCCTTTTTAGCTTGACAGCTAAGGTACTGAATGGGACATTAGAATCAAAGATATACGCATCTGCAGAGTTATCTGCACCATTAATCTTAATCTGTTAAAATGTATATAATTGTAAAATGATTTGTTCGTAATGTGTGCTGTTTTGTGTTCAGCGCCAATGTTTTGGAATTAAGTCCATTTTATATACACTCTGTTAATATGATATCATTTGCTTTTGCTGCAGATTATTATTATCAGACATACTATAAGGATGTTAGTCTTCCAGATAAAGTGACTGAGCTCTTAGTTCAGCATGATCAGGATATTGAAGCTTCTACTTATGATTCTAAAGACCAGTCACAAATAGAAAGTGATGCTTATGCTGGTACTGATGTAACAGAAAAGATTGAATGTGGACAAGAGGACCATTTTGCCTCAGATTCACAGGTAGTAGAATGCGTAACATGAAGTTGTTGATGTCTAAGAATTTTCCTTCATTATTGTAATTATGTAGACAAATTGACTTCTTTGGTCTATCACAATATATACAAAGGTTGTAAATATTCTGTGTATAATTAATTATACAGTGAATTTTTTTTGAGAAATAAATATTAGAACTTGTTGATATATGTGATTGTTTCCCACTCTGTTGTGTTTAAAAACTTAATAATGTGAATAAACTAAAACAGAAAATTTGTCAGTATATTTTGACTCAATCAAAAAAAATATGCAATCACCGCAAATAACTATGTTCACACCAGAAAATTTTTAATGCTTACTTATGTCATGTATCCCGCCACTGTTAAATTTCCCTGAATGTTTTATAAATTTGCTTCTATAGTCTGTTTGAATTAGGATCCCAGTAAGGTTCATCTATCTAGTGCAACTGCTTGATATTTTAACATATCTCACATAATCTAGACTTTCTCCTCCAATTCTCTTCTAAAACTTTTTTCCCTTTGGAAAAAAATCTAGATTGTTTGCCTTAAAGAATACTTCAGAGTCTGTATGTTATGGGTTGCTTTCCTGTGGTATCAGGCATTTATTTTTGAGTAATGGTCACTCACTTTTCATAGCTTCAAAACTGGGTCAAAATTAACTGCTAACACTAGTCAATATTTTTTAAAGTGAGTCAAATTGTAATTGATAGCCATCCATTTCATTGCAGAAATTGAAGTCTTATCATTTAAAATAGCTTTTAAGTCTATTGTTTCAAATTTTTGTCTTATTTGACATTAATATATCTTATCCAGGAGCCAGCATCTGCATTAGCAACAGAAGATACATCCTTAGAAGGGTCATCACTAGCTGAAAGTTTGAGAGCTGCAGCAGAGGCTGCTGTATCACAGACTGGATTTAGTTATGATGAGAATACTGGACTGTATTTTGACCACAGTACTGGTTTTTATTATGATTCTGTAAGTATCTCAGATATTTTAATACTGTCTGGTTGTATATTTAGTTACTCGATATCAAATATTAAACCGTAAACTGAATTAAGAAAAGCAAGGAGCTGCATTTAAAAATGATGTTTGCTTCAAAGCTATTTGATAAGAGTAGAGTTATAAAATAGCTCATGATGCTAAACTTCTAGGTTTTTAATTAAATAAGTTACTTGTGATTATTATAGATTAATATTTTATAGAGGTCTAATAACTTTTTATATATAAAGTAACATACAAAAAAGTTAGAGTATTTATTAATAAAAGCAAGCAATTAACTACATTGTTGTAAAATGTTTAAGAACCTAAATAACATTTTCTCATTGCTTTTATAAGAAAGTGATATTGTTAATTCTAGGCCTCCTAAGATTTTTTTTTCCAAATACTTTTATCTTTATGAATCTATTCGATGCCACAGAAGGAGTCTTTTTCTTGAATTCCCAATAGAATATTTATTTTTAGTCAGTGTTTTATATTCTGTGACTTTTACACATTTCACTTTTTAAAACTCAATTTGTTAACAGAACTAGAGAATTAGTGTGGAATTAGAAATGTAATGGACCACTGACTAGGACAGAACCAGAAAATTAAGTTCTTGATTTATAATACAGTGTTATAGTTGTTGAAGTCTAGTATTTAATTGGATTTTATTCAGGATTTGATGACAAACGATGACAGCTCACCCACATACCTCAACCCTAATGGTTTAGGCATGCGATCTGGTCCTCAGGAATTACAGAATATAGTGTGGAAAAGTGGAGCAGATGTTCACCATTCCAGCTACTGGAACTATTGTTAACTAATCTAGGGAACATAATGATAATGCTTAATATCTTAGTTAGATAAGGGATTTCATTAGCTTGTCATTTTGCACTTGGTATACATAGTTTGTAAATCCTTTGTAAAGGGAGCATTTTCTTTCATAGGAGTATGCTGACAATGCTAGTTAGTATTCAGAAAATTAATATTGAAACTCTTATTACCAAAATGTTACTTACTTTCTAGGAAAATACAGAATTTCCAAGTATTTGACATTATCTTTGTCATTCTTCTTCCTTTTTGTATCTTTCCTCCTGACTACTATTTTGTAAACGGTTAGTTACATTCTGTAGGTTATATATCTCGGTAAATTAGGGACTGCATTGTTTTACCATTTTTATTGTGCTAGCTTCCATTTTAATTAAATAAAAATTAAAAAATATGTTTGAAACTGTCTAATTTGGACTGAAAGACATAGCAGATTAAAAAAAATTGATTTACTAGAAAGTATAGATGTCAAATTATAATGTACACCTGAAAATTACATAATTGTATTAACCAGTGTTACCCCAATAAACTTAATTAAAAAAAAATGTGAGTTATAAAAGTTCTGTCGTCACTAGAAAAAAGATTAGAATGCTTCCATTGAGTTTTTTAGTTAAGGGGAAGAAAGATAGAATTCAAAGTATTTTTGTAAGAGATCTGCAGAAATGAATTAAAGATAATATATTGCAGTAGTATGAACAGTTAGAAAAATGAATTATTCTTTTACAGTAAGTTTTAGTTGCTTAATTCAGTACATCTAAGATGTTTCCAGGTCTGATCTGCATGGATTTATCATGAAAAGAAAATATAAACTTTCAATTAAATCTTAGTTGTAGAGAATTGCCAGTATCCAATAAATGAAGATGGTTACATAATTTCGTCTTACAGTTTTTTATCCATAATTTGCCAAAATTTATTTTTTGCGTGGTTGCTTTACTCATAAACCTTTAATTACTGTCTTTAATTAGTAAAGACAATTTTTTATTGGTTTCTTTATATACAATGTTATGTTGTATTTATGAAGTTAACTTTATTTTCAAACTTTTCTGTAGAACTTTAGTCATGAACATTAAAAGGCAAGTCTTTGTTTTATGACATTGAGATAAGGGTTTGGGAGTTTATACTGCCACACCATTATTTTGTAATAGGAATGAGTCTGGAATTGCTTTTATATGCTCAGCCTTTTCTGATGCATACCTTAGTTTTCATACATAAAAGGTTTTCTGTTATCATTTTTCCTTAATGTATTAAGTTGAACCATACAAAATTGCTGTTTCTGTAAGTTAAAAACTGGTCAAATGTTGGCAATTTCATGATTCAATTTAGTATTTAAATATACTCATTTTTCACACTAGGAAAATTAGCAAATGTTGAATGGTAAAGTATTTTGGAAAATTACAGGCATCTTTCTGATATTTTTATTCATTATCTTCAAAAATACTTTAGTTCTTGAAAGAAACAAACTTTTACTATATTTGAATATATTTGATATTTTATTACATTTATTTCTCTATTTTATTTCATCTTACATAAATAGAACTTATTGTTTTCTTGACTTTGAAAGGAAAATCAACTGTATTACGACCCTTCCACTGGAATTTATTACTACTGTGATGTGGAAAGTGGTCGATATCAATTTCATTCTCGAGTAGATTTGCAACCTTATCAGACTTCTGGCACAAAACAAAGTAAAGATAAAAAGTTAAAGAAGAAGAGAAAGGATCCAGATTCTTCTACAACAAATGAGGAAAAGGTATTGTCTTCATAATTTTTTAAATTTACATAACAGTGATATCATAATTAAGCCAAAATTTTTGATGAAACTGAAAATTTTTCATTAACTCTGTATTTCAAATATATCCATTAAGATAAGATACCAGAGTCTATTTACCAAGAAGTGTTCTCATGGGGCAAACATGGACTTTTTCAGAAATTCTCAGTTACTAGAAGTAGAAGGGATTTCTTATAATTTTGAAGGAGATAGATTTAGAATAGATAAAATACTCTTGTGTTACATAATTTGGAAGAACTTTCAGACACTCAGTTGATAAGCTGATGTCAGTGCGCAGTTCACAAAAGAAAAACAGTTTGTAAGTAGGCATAGATAAAAGTTCTTGGTTATATTGAGCGATTTCTTATGTTAGCAAATGTTAAAAAAAATCCATTTCTGGCAAATATAGAGTAGATACATATTAGGTGTCTAAATTTGTATCTTTTTGGAAAATAGATTGGCTATTTGTATTGATAACTATAAAAATGTTGATATTTTTAAATTGGAAACCTTGTTCCTGGTAATTTATTACTTTTTAAATCCAAAGAAAGAAAAATGCCTTTGTGTAATTACATAGCAATATTTATAAGAACAGAAAAAAAATTAAATGTTTAAATGGCTCACCAGTATTGGTTCAAAAATGATAGTACATTTAAGTGAAAAAGCATTATTCAGGCCTTAAAATAGTAGTTATATAGACTGAAAAGAATTTTAAAAATGCTTATAATACAATGTTGAAGTGGAAAAATATAAAAAATGTTATTAATGCTCTTTTTATACTCTGTAGATAAGGTTGGAGGCTTATTTGTTGTATTGGCATTTTATGAATTGTGGCAACTGTTTGATACTTTACTCTTAAAATTTATCTAATATTTTTCTACTTAACCAAGAAAAAAACTTTTAAATGTAGAATACTAAAGTTCAAATATGGAATTGAGATTCTGTTGAATTTATTTCGTATTCTCTTATTTGATTTGTATTTATTTCTGTTATTTTCACTGACAATACTGAAGAAGAGTATGTGACTAAAATACTAAAAATGACACTTCTGTTTGCTTTCAAGAACTCATTTAGTGACTCTTACCTGTTACCAGTGGTTGAACTGTTTGAAAGGATAAGTTGTGAAAGTACACCTTCCTAACAAAGAGAAAAGAATGTAGGGGTTATCAAATGGCCTTTCCTGACAAACTAGAGAATGAAATTTGAAAGTGTTCTTGTGAGGTTTTGGTTCAGTTTAGCTCCCATAATTGCTTATCTTTACTGTCCTTCAAAGATATGTGAACTCCAAGCACAGAAACTTAAAAAGTCCTGATGGAATTTTGAGAATTCTTCAAGGGTTCTAAAAGGTAGCAGCTGTGAAGCATGGGAGACCAGTTAAGACATCTTCACTTTTTCTTTATTTTTTAAGCTACTCTTGAGCCCCACTCTTTGTAGGTGGTGGGATGTAGAAGGAAGGGAGTAGGGTGAGGATATGGGAGTAAATAACTTGAAATAAGCCTCAATGCCCACAGGTAGGCCTCTTTTCTCATCTTTTAATGAATAACATTCTAGACTGGCAAATAATTTTTAAAAAGGAGCACTTATGGCAATTTAATTTTTCTCTTGCATATGTTGTCTTATAAGCAGTAATAATAATAAAATATACAAAATTCGAAACTGCTTTTTTTTTTTAAGTATATATAGATAGGGAAATTTTTTTGCCATAATTCACAGTGGCCTTTAAAGCTCATAGTTGTTCAGTTCCTTGCCCTTGTTCTTGTCCTTGGTGAGTTTATATTGCTGGAAGTGTATATAGTTTATCACACTGTGAGTGTTTAGCCAGTCTCCAAACTGAATTTATGTTGCTATTAAACATATGTGTTTAAGATGCTCTCATATTTTATAAAATAACAACATATGAATTCACTTTATCATGTGGCTCTAAGGTAGGAAAAAATTTTAGTGTGTTACAAACCAAAGGAAAAAGAGAAAGATTACTTTCTGCTTCTAAGGTTAAAACAATAGATTTGTTTATTTGTTGTAAGTCATGTGCAATATAATTGTATAATGAATAATAAAAGACTTAAGCCAGGTAAGTTGGAATTTTGGAATAAAAGATGTAACTGACTTACTGGTACTTTAAACTGTTATTATCAAACCAACTATAAAGTACTATAAATTATTAGCAAAACCACTCTTTATTACATTAGGTAGTTTGGATATTTAAATCCCTCCTGTAATGAAAGTCAGTTCTGTACTTTATGTGTTGACATGATAATTGGTTAAAAGCTCAAAAAGAAAGTTTAGAGTAGACGTATTCTCTAGGCCTGCACTGTCCAATAAGGTAGCCACTAGCTACATGTGGCTGTTGAACACTAGAAGTGCAGCTGGTCCGAACTAAGGTGTGTTTTAAGTGTAAACTACTCTCAATTTTGAAAATAATACAGAAAATCCATGTAAAATATTTCATGGGCAATTTTTATATTGATTAAATATTAATATAAAATGATATGTTATAAATAGTGGGTTAGATAAAATAATAAAATGAATTTCATGTGCTTTTTAAAACCTTTTTAATGTGGCTATTAGAAAATTTTTAATTACAAATATGGCTTGCATTTTATTTTTATTGGATAGCTTTGGTCTAGATTGTCACCTGGTCTAAGCAATATGTGATAAGGGCCTAGACTGGGACAGTTAGGACATTGAGAATAGATAAGAAGAGAGGATAAATTATAAAGTCTGTAGCGCTTGGTAATTGATTTTATGTAGTGGTTAAGGGGATATCAAAGATAACCATAAGAGTTTTGATTTGAATGGTGAGTGAATGGTATTGTCATTAACCAAGAAAGGGAACACGAGCAGAAGAGGAGGTAAAATAATAGCTGTTCTTATTTCACTGTACATATATCTTCACTAATTCATTGAAACACTTAGCATTAAAGATGGTCATGTTTAAGATTATTTTCTCCTTTTCCTTTTCCCCACCTACCTCTCTTCAGGATTTGAATTCAGAAGATCAAAAAGCATCCATTGTTGAGCATATAAGCTGCAGTGAGGGAGAAGATTTTACAAGTGTGAAAAAGAAGGCCAAAGTAGACCTTCATCACAAAAATAGTTCCTCCAAATTCACTGTTTCAGTTAGTGGAAAGACTATAGAATCTCCTCTTAATGAAAACATCTATAATTCCACTTCATTTAAAGATGAGAAAATCATAGAGACTGATAGTGAGCCAGAAGAAGGTGAAATTACAGATTCTCAGACTGAGGACAGTTATGATGAAGACATTACCAGTGAAGATAATGTCACTGCAGAAGATAGTGAGGATGAAGGTGAGTAGTGTAGTCATTGTAAAAGAGCAACACAGTTAAAAATGTTAGTGACTCATACCATATATCTGCCAAAAAGTAAACTGATTGTTTTAAACTGATTATTTGAATGACATTCTTAAAAATTTTGTGGGCTACTGCTTTTTTTTTTTTTTTTTTAGAGAGTAGGTTGTGAATCAATGGCTAATATTTGAACCTTAAAGTTTCATTGCATTGCATGGCCTAGTCAGTAGAACACAAAACCAAGTTACCTATGTTCTAATCCTAAAGTATGTATTAAGTCTTATTTTAGTGGGTAAATATTTATGATTCACTTTTACAATTGAGAGAATAGCAAATTGTCATTAAAAAGTATAGTCCATGAATTTAGCTACATAGATATGGTAAATCTAATATTTTTTTTACTGGAGGGTAAAAGGCATACTTTTAAAACCCAGTATTTCATACTAGGGTACATGAGCTTATTTTGTTCCTAACAGAATTTCTTACTTTTTTTAAAAAAAGTGTAAATTCAGGTTTTCTAACTTAATTTAAAAAGCCTTGTTTGCGATATTCTCAAATTCCAAGACCTTAAAAAAGAGAGAGATGATTATAATTATGATAGATGCTGAATTAGCTGAATACCTTTAGGTTGGTTCACTTTAAACTGGTAACAATATTAAGCCTTACTTATCATGTATGTGATATAGCAGGATTTAAGAAGGTTTTAAACAAGATTAAGATTTTTGATCAATACATTTTTATTTTACAGATGCATCCTACTATCCATAGGCATTTCTTATTTTTTTCCATAGCATTTGAATTAATATTATCCACTTGTTTCTTTGGCAGATGAAGAAAAAATTTGGCCCCCATGTATTAGAGTAATTGTTATAAGATCACCAGTGTTGCAGACAGGATCACTTTTTATCATTACAGCTGTAAATCCTGCTACAATTGGAAGGTAAAATGTTTAATATTATTGTATTGGTATATTTGTCTTATGCTAGTGGATTGTACATTTCTTGAGCAGTTATCATGAAATGTGCACGGTATTTGTTGAATAGGCAAAAAAAAGAATGACATTCATGTCCCTTTTTCTCCCATTCAAAAAATATTATTGACACTTAATGTTTTGTCACTTACTTTTGGAAATCAGTGGAGGATATGACTTCATAGTCCCAAAAGGGGACTGCCTATGTAAAGAAATAAAATCTTGATGATACCATCTACAGAGATTTTGTCATTTTCTTACCTTTGTACTGCCTTTTTTGAGTTTAAATTATTTACCTAAACCCAGTATTGGCCTCCTTTCCTGCCTCGTTTCCTTTACCCCTTTGTAGTTCATAAGCAGCTTGCTAGAGAGATTGGTTTTAATCATGAGTAAGATAATTTCTTCCTAATAGGAGGGATAATCTATCTTTAATTTAGATTCTATGCAATACCTTAATTTTAAATTCTTGGAGAACAGTATGCTCTTTTTATATGTAGGAATAGAAATGAGAACATAGTCAACAGATCTAGAATAAATAATTGATGTTAACACAAAGGGTATTTTGTTTCACTGGATATTTATTAGCCTGGGATAGATGTACCAAAGAATAAAAGTAATTCTGGAAACTCCTCTTAAATAGGAAATTTAGAGTAGATTAAGAAAATTGGACTTAGTGTGATAGAGAAACTTGCATTTTAACACCTTTTTAACATTTTTTAAAACAAAAAAATTCTTTCCATGTCACTGAGTGCTGCATTTATATGTGCTTCCAAAGTTGTTAAAGACATTTTCCTTAACTCTGCAGAGAAAAAGATATGGAGCATACTCTCCGAATCCCTGAAGTTGGTGTCAGTAAGGTAAACTCTTTGATTTTATTAATATAGCCCCCTGATGTAATTTTGTAAATCATCATTATGGCAGAAAGCTTATGGTTCCTCCTATTTAATAGAAAGCTTAACAGTCAATGTAGTAACAGTAATGAAAGTAATGCAGATTTGTTTATTCCACTGCTTGAGAAAATGAAAATTCTTTATCACAATTTGGATTAACTAAATTGTGTTTAATTTTTAACAATCTGGAACAGGAGTAGAGAATGTGGATTAATTTAAGTATTAAAGTAATACTTGTTGAACACATATTTATTGAGTGACATAAATAGGCTAGATATTATGGTAGTTAAAAAATGAACCAGACCTGGATTTAGGCTATTTTAGTAGGTAGTTACTTTGAGTCCAGAGTGTCTTACAACCCAAGAGCAATCTGTCCTCTCGCATTTATAGCTTTTCCTAGTTGAACCTGTAATGGTTTCAGGAAAAAACAGTTGGGGTTTCGAAACTAACAACAAGGACAGAGTTGCAAACTAGATTATAAGTTAAAAAAAAACATAAGGTTTAGCTACTGGTACTTTATACTTCATATTTATCTTTACTATGTTTTCTCTCTCCCTTCTATGGTTATCTTTTTTTTCTCCTCTATTTTTTGACCTTTTATTATATCCATATTGTTTCTATTTGATGAACTATAATATGGATCTAAAGTATATATTTTATGTGATTTTTGTCTTTTTGGAATGAAATGTCTCATTATTAGTTTGAAAGTCTAGTTATTTTTACTATGTTTGGACTCATTTAAGAGAGGAGTAAATCCTCATAATCTTAACTCTGACCAGATTATCTTGCTTTTTCACTTTCTAATGATTCTTATTCTTTTGCTCCCGAAGAAAACCTAATCTGTAATTTAAATGGCAAAGTCCTTCCTCTACTTCAATCTAAAATATAGGTAGTTCTCTGGTAGCATTTCTGCTTTTTCTTTATCTCTTTTAAACTAAAATGTCCACTTGTGGGGTGGATAATTAGCTGTGTGAAATCAGTTTGACAATATATATCTCACATATTGAGGTATATGAAAAAAATGGAAAAAAATCAGAGGACAAAATAATTTTGAATAATTTAAGTTTGAAATTCTTTATATGTTAAGAAACACATTTAAAAGACTGACTTAAAACAAATTTAAAAGCTTACATTTTAAAAGCTTATACGAATTAAAAGCTTACATTTTAAAAGCTGCTACGAATTTACTTTTTCAAACCCAACTGCGCCACCAATAGGTAAATGAGTAAGGAACATAAATAGGCAGTTTACAATAGAGAACATATCATGATTAACATGTGAAAATCATTCAATCTTCCTAGTTATTTAAGAAATAGAAATGAAGCCAAGATGTCAGTTTTCATTCATCGTATTTATTAAATATCACTCCTATGGGATCATAATTTAGAACTCTTTGGAATAAGGTTTCAAGTGTTTTGAAAATAAAATATGGCAGTATATGAGCCTTATATAGTTATTATTCTAAACAATCCAATTGAATAAAATGTACAAAGGACAGGAAGAGAAAATTTTCAGAAGAGAAAACAAATGGCTAATAAATATAAGAAGAGGTTTCAACCTCAGGAGTAATCAGGGAAATGCAAATTAAAATCACAATGATGAGATTCAGCTTCACACCTGTTATACTTGCAAAAACTAAAAATTTTGACAATACCAAGGGTTAGTTAAGGCTGCATAGAGCATTAAGAATTCTTATAGACTGCTGTTGGGAATATAAATTTGTATAACCACTTTGGAAAACGATTGGCAGTATGTAATAAAGTTTAAGATTTGTACAGCCTATAGTTTAGCAATTTCATTCCTAAGTATGTATCTCAGAGAAGCACTTGCATGTGCATAAGAAGGTTGCATGTACAAGAACGTTCATAGAAACATTTGAAAAAATAGTAAAATCTTGGAAAAAACCTGGATGTCCATCATCAAAAGAATATTTAGATTGTGGTACATCTGTTCATACAATGTATCACCATTTAGCAAAATGGCACAACTGCACAACTGGATTACTTCATAACAGAATATTAGGCCAAAAAAGCAAAATAAAAGAAATATATAAAGTTGCATACATTTGTTAGAACTCATCGAATTATACATTTAAGATTTGTGAATTTCCTATATATAAATTATATCTCAATAAGAAAATTCATACAGTATGATTTCTATTTATATCAAGTTCCAAAACTGGCAGAATAAACATATTTATGGGTATATATGTGGTAAAAATATAAAGAGATGTATCATGATTAAATATCAGACCTTTGAAAAGGAAGGGTGGGGGATGGATAGAGTGAAGTACACATCAAAGGATAATTTATTTTAAATATCTGAGGCAAATACGGCAAAATTTATTAAGGCTAGGTCATAGGTAGACAGGTTCAGTATGTTTTTTTGTGTGCTTGAAACATTTTATAATTTGTTTATGAAATTTTTAAGGAACAATGTAATTGATAGTCCACATATCATATACAATTTACCCATTGAAAGCATATAATTCAAAGGATTTTAGTATGTTTGTGGAGTTGTGCAACCATCACCACATTAATTTTGGAACATTTTCATCACCATAAAAAGAAACATACTCAGTAACTCCTCATTTCCTTCCATCTACCAGTTTTTCTGTCTCTGTGGATTTGCCTATTCTGCACATTTCATATAAATGGAATCATAGAACATATAATCTTTTGTAGTTAGCTCTTTCACTTAGCATGTCTTTAAGATTCATCCATGTTGTAGCATATGTCAGTACTTCATTCCTTTTTATTGCCAAATAATATTTCATTTACTGTATTTTGTTTATTCATTAATAGATGGATATTTGAATTATTTCCACTTTTTGGCTATTAAAAGTAATGCTGCTATGTGTACAAGTTTTCGTTTGGATGTATGTTTTCATTTTTCCTGGTATATACCTAGGAGTAGAAAGCTGCTGCACCATTTTACATTCCTACCATAGTGTATCGTATATGAAATTTTAAGTTAAATACCTCTGCAACTCTTTATCCAATTAAATAGATGTGTTTTGAGTACATGTCCAGTATATGTGACGCACTATATTATGTACTGAGAGGTAAGCAAAAGAGTAACCTAATGTAAGCAGTACAATGATATTTACATATGCAGTAACTTCGATAATGTGTTGTAATGTGGATCAAGGAGAGGGTGATTAGTCTTGAGTACCAAAAAACTGGAAGACTAAGTTGACCTTGAATGTTTCAAATATTAATAAGATTTTTTAATGATATAGACAAATATTTAGGTAAAAAAATAATTTCAAATTGTATAGTATGTCTCAATTATGTTACAGAAATGGAAAAGGTAGGATACACACTAAATTATTAGTGGTAGTTATAGGTAGAATTATAGGTGACTTTTTCTTCTGTGTCCACATTTCTACCAAAAGTATTATAATACTTTTGTATTCAGAAAAATAAAAGTTAAATTATCAGAGACTAAAGTCTGTTGTATTCTATCATAGAGAGATTGTTATCTATGGTTAAAAAAAGTATACTGCCTTATAATTACCTGGTTTCTTTTTTAAGTTTCATGCAGAAATTTATTTTGACCATGACTTACAAAGTTATGTCCTTGTGGATCAAGGCAGTCAAAATGGTACAGTTGTTAATGGAAAACAGATTCTTCAGGTGCGTATATGTATTAATTACTTGCATATTATTTTTAAAAACTCAACTGAAAGTTTTTATTCCTAAAGGTCATAGTAATATATATCATTTGGTTTCGATCAGTGTTCAAGTCCAAATGTATTATGTGGAAGGGAATTCCCAGAAAGTGCTGAAAAAAGTGTGTAACTGGATACTTGACTGTTGAGGTTTGACTTCTAATTATTATCTATGCCTTCTTTTTAAAAATAAATGCATTTTAAAGCCATTCAGAGTAAATATTCTTACAGCAACTTTACGGACTCTTCTTTTTTTGTATTTAAAAAAAATTGTTTTAATGAAAATATTGCTTAACTGGAAACTCCTTGAAGGCAGGGGCCATGTCTGTCCAGTTAATAACTCTTCTATCTCCAACACATAGCAAAGTACTTGGCCCTGGAAAGGAGAGAGGGAGGCCTTATTCTTTGTCTATAAGAATTGCAAATGAAGTAAACAAGGAAAAGGGAAAATATGATGTACTTTTTAAACACTTCATCTTTTCCCCCAAATACCAACTGTACTATTGCATATTTTTGTATTCTGATATTAGATTATGGCACATTACACAATAACATGAATATTAGGTTTGGATTCATTTTGATAATAGATTGTTTGAAATTTGGGTTGGGTATTTCTCTGATAGGATTGGGTATGGAGATAAGGAGATTGTGGATTTTGATAATATAAAATCAGTTTAGATAACTCTTCTCCACTAGTAGAACATTATGGATCATCCTCAAATTGTAGAAATGTGTTCATGTGTCTATCTCATTGAGAACCATCTCAAACACTTTTTTTAAATAATTAGACATTACTTAGAAAATAATCATGTAAAACTCTCTTGGATTTCTATTTTGCAATTTTTCTCCTCAGCCTAAAACGAAATGTGACCCTTATGTACTTGAACATGGAGATGAAGTGAAAATTGGAGAGACGGTATTGTCCTTTCATATTCACCCTGGCAGTGACACCTGTGATGGCTGCGAACCGGGGCAGGTTAGAGCTCACCTTCGTCTTGATAAGAAAGATGAATCTTTCGGTATGTGAAACATACTGTTATATGTGGCAAATGTACAGTTATACGTGGGCATGGTAGCTTCAATTCACAGGAGTGTTCTACAAAAGAATTAGTTGGCTACCATCTTCATATCTAATGATATCTAATAATATAATTCGGTATTGAGATACATTTATATTTCAGCGAATATTATCACATGAGACTAAGAAATGACATGTATTTGAAATTTGAGACCTAGACTAGTAGATTATGATTATAGTTGATTTTTCTATGTAATAATTTTGCTTTGTTATTTATAGCATTAGCTTATTTTCTGACCAGGAGATAATCATTAGCTCTGTTTTTGCTAATCCAGTTTAGTGGGCTTTTGAAGCAACACTGCATTGGTAGCTAAATGTCCTTCAAAAGAATAATTATGACATAATTATAATAAAGGTTGGTTTCCTTTTAACATCTATTTACTGATAGGAAGAAGTCATCTACAGTTTTAACTCCATCACATAATAGTAGCATAGAAAATAATAGGCCAAGGTATTAAGAATTATTGGTTGATATGTATACTTTTCTACTTATAGTTTATGTTGCTATATCATCTGTATATATACCATTATTTTCTGTAGTTAATAATGCTGTAGAAGTTTGCTTTCTTGCTTTAAGCCCACTTATCTAAGGCTTTTAAATTTAAATGAATACTTTGATCTAGTAAGAACAGACTTTTTTTCACATCAGTTTTTTCCCCCAAATACCAACTCTACTATTGTATATTTTTGTTTTCTGATATTAGATTATGAAAATAAGTATGGCACATCACACAATAACATGAATGTTGGGTTTGGGTTATGTGATTTTTAAATTTTCTTTGCACATGGGTATGTTCCTTTGAAAATACACAATATTCCCTCATTTGAGTCTATTATAATTATATAAAAAATTAAGATGTTTGATATTTCTTTTGGTATCTATACTGTGACGTTCCTATAATCTTTGAGTTTTGGTTTACTTTCCAAGTAGATTTATTTATTAAAATGTTGAAAGGACATCATCACAAGTCAGGATTCTTTTATGTAAATATTTGAACTTTTGATTAACCTACAGATGGGATACTAATAGTATTAATTAGTTGTTTATTATTAAATAAGAGTATTAATTTTATATAATATCTGTCAGATTTAGTGAGTTTTTCTTTTTAAACTAAACTCACTTTTTCCTTTTAGTTGTTCCAACACTAAGCAAGGAGGAAAAAGAGTTGGAAAGGAGAAAAGAATTAAAGAAAATACGAGTAAAATATGGTTTGCAGGTAAGGATGTTAAATATTGTTACATATGTTAAATCATGCACCTGGTTTCAAGTAAAAATGCCTTTAGATATGCATAGTCCATTTTATTTATAAAAAGTTATTTAGAATGATTTTGAGATTGATATAATTTCTTTTAGTTTATTGTTACCTTGACAACTGTTGAGGTTGGAGTAGAAAAATGATAATACCCTACATTTGAACAGCCATTTCTCATTTTTAAAAACTTTGCATTAAAATGGTGCCATTGAAGAACATAGTAGGAGGATTAATACTGCCTGATTTTAAAACTTATTATAAACTACAGTAATTAAGACAGTATAGTATCGGCATAAAGATAAATAGGTCGATGGAATAGAATGAGTACAGAAATAGACCCATATAGATAGGTCTGTGTGTGTGTGAGTGAGTGAGTGTGTGAGAGAGTATATGTGATTTCAACAAGAGAGTGTATGTGATTTCAACAAAAGTGTGATGGCAGTTTGGTGGAGAAAAGATGGTCTTTTTCAACAAACAATGCTAGACCAGTTAGATTGCCATACCTTAAAACTTATATAAAATGAACTCAAAATGGATCATAGATACGAATTTAAATACTAAAACTATAAAACTTTCAGAAGCAAACCTTTTTTAAAAAAAGTTAGACAAAGATTTTTTTGATATCTTAACACCAAAAGCACAATCCATAAAAGAAAAAATTAATAAATTACACTTCCTCCAGAATTTCTGTTCTTCCAAGACACTGTTAAGAGAATGAAAAGATAAATCACAGACTGGGAAAAATATTTACAAATCATATATCTGATAAAAATTATATATCTATAATATATAATGAACTCTCAAAACTCAACTCAGTTAAAAATCGAGCAAAAGATTTGAATAGACACTTCATGCAGATGTACAATTGGTAAATAAAGACATTAAAAGATGTTCAGTATCAGTAGTCATTAGGGAAATGCAAATTAAAACCAAAGGAAAAGAATGACCATACCAAGTGTTGGTGGGCATGTGGAGAACTGGAACTCTCACACACTGCTGGTGAGAATATAAAATGGTTTGATTGTTTCGAAAAACATTTTAGTAGTTTCTTTAAAAGTTAAATATACATCTACTATATGATTCATTGTTCTACTCCAAGAGAAATGAAACAAAATGTTCATACAAAGACTAGTAAACAAATGTTCATAGCAGCTTCTTTTTCTAATAGCCAAAACTGGGAAAAATTCATGTGTTCATCACTAATGGATAAGCAAACTATGGTATATCAATATGGTCAAATACTATTTAGCAATAAAAAAGCTTGAGCTATTGATACAGGCTACAATGTGGATGAATTCAGTTATGCTGAGTGAAAGAAGCCAGACAAAAAGAATACATAGTGTATACTTCTACTTACATAAAATTCTAGGAAAGCAAACTAGCATGTAACAGAAAGATCAGTGTGGCCTGGATACAGGAGAGGAAGGATGCACAGGGAGGATCTAGAGGGATGGAGTATAATAAATGACAGGATACTTTGTGGTAGATGGATATATTTATTATCTAGATTCTGGTGATAGTTTCATAGATGTATACACATCTCAAAAGTGTCTAATTGTACACTTTTACATAATTTGTTGTATGTTAATATACCACAATAAGGCTGTAAATAAAGTTACCATTTAATCATGTAAGTAAACCAGGAAGGTAATTAATATTTTCAGTTTACATTTGAGAAACTAAAGCATAAAGGTCACCTAGCTACTAAATGACAGAACTATATATAGAATCTAGGTCTTAAGCATATTTGTCCAGTGCTTCTCACACTTCACGAAGATATGAGAAAAGATGCTGCCAAATCTGCAGAATTATATTTTTGTTGTTACTGTTTCATTAAGGGAGAAAAATCATAAATATCAAGGGGCTAATTTGGGAGGACAATAGAAGATACATAAGGAGAGAATCAAAAGTGTTTTCTTAAAAATTTTAACTAAATTTCTGTATCATCTTCTGGGGAGAAAACCCCATGAGGATTAGTGATTCTATGTTTTTCTTCTCTGATTAAAAGCAAAATTAAGTAAAAACTTATGTGGTTCTTTCCTTGAATTGCTCCAGCAGCCCCTAGCATCTCTGTGGATGAATGTCATACTTTTAGTATAAAGATCAGCAAGTAATAACAAAGGGTGGAGAGAAGCCTACTCTGAAGCCCCAAGCTGAATTGACCACCTCCTCTTTTGTGCCACTGCCACATCTTATGTATACTTTTATTGTCGAACCAGTCATGCCAAAGATTATGTGTATTTGCCCTCTGGGATTATAAATTTCTTTGTATTCATTGCATCACCTAGCATGGAACTTAACATACTCTTTACTCAGTAACTATTTGTTGAGTGACTGATAATCACATAAATGGAGCTGTTGAAGCATAAAGCTTTTTATCCATTTTTTGAAGACTTTCTTCATTTTCCTTTCCAAGGAACAGTAACCAAACTATTTTAGGTCCTTTGGTACTTTCGGTTCCTTAGAGAAAAGGAGAAATAGATAGTTTTTCCAACCCCATTGGTTCTACATGGTTTTTTTTTTGAATACTGGTGGTTCATATGAAAATATGAGTACACAGCATTAAGTATTAATTCATTGTTTAATAGAGAACACATTGAACCATATTTGCCAAGTAGGGCAAATATACAGACATTACATTTTTATTTAGCAGCTTTGTTTTTTTTAATGAATATTTCTCGTTTATAAAGAATACAGATTATGAGGATGAAAAGGCATTGAAGAATCCAAAATATAAAGATAGAGCTGGAAAACGTAGGGAACAGATCGGAAGTGAAGGAACTTTTCAAAGAGATGATGCTCCTGCATCTGTTCATTCGTAAGTATTAACTTTAATTACTTTTAGTACCCTTTGTACCATATCACATTCATAGGGTAATAGCTTTGGTACAGGGCTTTATATGTTGATAGGTATGTTTTAAAGGAATAGTTCAGAATAAGATCAGAATATTACATCTATTTACATTTTCCTCTAAAATTAGAATTCCATTATTTCCTAGAAAAGTTCTGAGCATATATGTGAGTACACATATTTAAACACACATATATGCACACATATATGCATATCTAGCCACCCAATTGAGTGAGTATGCTTTTATATACAATGTATTTAGAAGGCTCAAAATGTAATTTTGAGGTCTACAATATGACCATATTTCTGCGTTTAGTCATATGTTAGCTACATTTTTTTCCTCAATATAAATTCTGGATTTAGTTAAAATTTAAATCTTTCATGTGGAACTGACAACTCGATATAAAATTTTGATTAAATATTATTTTATTGATTCTAAGGTATACTACTTGGATAGAGTTTTACAGTTACATATACAAGCAAACTTTTTAATGTGGCATAAGATAACAGCACATCTTAAAATTTGTGGCGTCAGATTTGATGAAATATATAGTATTATGAATTAGATATACTAAGCAACGTGGCAAATATTTTTTAAAGCCTAATATTTTTTAAAATAATTGCTGGAGAATATGAAGATTACATTAGAGTTAAATTAAAAGGCAGAAATAAAAAGTGAAACATTTGTATGACATTGCTTAATTGTTATTGAAGAGCTAATTTAACGTTTTGTAGAACCGAAATGACAATGTGGTAGAACATAAAATTAAAATACCCTTAAATTAGCAGGAGGACATAAAATCAGAACAAAATGCAAATAGCGAATAAGAGATTTTTTATTTTAACTTTTTCTTTGATGTATAACATATACAGAAAAATGCACAAATGTAAGCATCAATATTAATGATATACAATTAACACATTGTAAAGTAAACGTTTCTTGGTCAAGAAATAGAAAATTTCAGTAACCCCAGAAACCTACCCTCCTTATGCCCCCTCTTAATCACTATTGTTCTCTCTTCTCCAAAGGTAATCACTCTGCAGATTTCCAGTAGCAACAGATTAATTTCACTTATTTTTGAATTTTAAATTGAATAATTCAGTATTTTGTGTCTGTATTTTTTCCACAACATTATTTTGTTAGGTACATTTTATTTGCATTGCTGTATAATATTCTCTTGTGTGAATATGCCACAATTTTTGATCTTGGACATCTGGGTTATTTCTTTAATGTCTTGGTGTACCATGCACCTGCTTTTCTGTTAAATGGTATATATAGGATTGGAATTTACGTATCTTCAACTTTGTTAGATAATGCCAGTTTTCTAAAGTAATTTTACCCATTATTTTAAATTCATGAGTATATTATAAATGTGACCTAAATGGTCTTGTAGAAATCAACCGTCATCTTAATTTTCTTTAAAGTGAAATTACTGATAGCAACAAAGGTCGGAAGATGTTGGAGAAAATGGGTTGGAAGAAAAAAAAAATGGAGGAATGAAAACTCCGGTAAGACTTGTGTGTTCTTTCATTCTTTATTCTTACAGCAGACATATTTACTGTATATCTCATATGTGCCAGGTATTGCCTTAAGTGCTAGGAGACATTATTACTGCGTTTGTGGCCATTCATGGTCACCAAATATACATATGTATATTGTTTTTATTTTGTTTTTAATGTTTTTCAGAAGCCTCTTGAAGTTTTTTTCCTCAGTGAAGCTAGAATAGTAAATGTTATTTCCTGAGTCAAAGGTTTTTCTGTGTCTTTTAGTTGCATTTAATTACTTCCTTACTTTTCCTGGTACTAAGAATTGCAGGACCAGTTACAGTGTCACTTTATAAATAGGAAGATTCTATATTAGCTGGAAAATCTGTTTTGGGTTCAAGAGCTAGAGCATATAACAAGCAATGGAGAGAATAATGTTTGAAAAACTACAGTGATTTAATTCTGCAGTCCCATGGTTCATCAGGGTTTAGATTATCTTTTGCAAAAACCTTACAAAGTAAAATGACTAAAGAACTCTCTTGATAATTACTCGGTACCTAAAGAAATAATAAATGGATCACTGTGAGTTTAATGTAAATTTTTTCATTTCATAGAGATACAATGGGAAGAACATTAGTTTTATAGTCAGACCTAGATTAGAATATGTGCTCTGTCATATTGGGACTTAGGTCAAGTTTGGAGTTCAGTTTTTGTATGTTAAAATAGGGATAATAAAACCTTTTTCAAGTATGCCATGAATATAAAGCCCCTAGCATGGTGCCTAACATATATTATACATTTAATGATTCTCAAAATAATGAGAAGTCCTCCTTTCCATTTATGCAATTAAGTTTATGTATGACTCTTAATGTTTAATCTATCTGTTCACTTAAGTGAGGCTAGGACAGTAGGTATAAATACATCTTTTACCTTTACTTTTGGTTAGAGTGAGATGACAGACTGGAGCATTTCAGTGAAATTTGGTGATTGCTATTTAAGGAGCACTTTTTTTTTGTGGAGTCAGCTGTACTTATTGACAAGCACAACAATGTAGAAAAATGAGTTTAAGTTCCAAATATAATCATGTATGTATTCCTGTATGGTATTTGATGCATTTGACAGATTTTCTTTTGTGTCATTTCTAAGTCAGAGAATTATAGTTAAAGTACTAAGTTGGACACAGCAGATTTCATTGTGCTTTGACTGTACAATAAGTCTCTGCTCAACTTTTGGTAACAGATCCAGCTTCAGCTTCGGCGAACGCATGCTGGCTTGGGGACAGGCAAACCATCCTCAATTGAAGATGTTCACGTTCTCCAAAATAAGAGTAAAAAGAACTGGGAGAAAGCACGAGAGAGGTTTGCTGAAAACTTCCCAGAAACTAAACCTCAAAAAGATGTACCAGGGGCCATGCCCTGGGTCAAAGGGACTGTAGAGTGAAGGTCAGTCATAGAACACAATTCAAACTTTTGAAAGAGTCTGGAAACTCTTATTTTATTGCAGAACTTTTTTCTCCAAAAGAGCCAGTAGCATGAGGGAACTGTATCACAATTTATCCCCTCATGAATCAGAAATGTATAATAAAGTGTGGTTTGCAGCTTTTAAAAAAACATTTTCTAAAACTAATAAATAGTGACTGAATCAAGTTATTTGGTGAGTGGATTAAAGTTCACAGGGCATGGATGAGCTTATGAACCTTTGTTATTTTATCTTGTCATTTAGAAGACCCATATAAGTAGCCATATAGGCAAAATTCATATATCCACTAATGACTTAAATGTACATTTGTTGTTGTCTCCATATATTTGTTATTGTAAGGTGTGCAACAAAAAAAATCAAAAGTTTATAAAAACAGTTCTGACTGTATACATCCTTGTTTATGCCCTTCAGAACTTAGATAAAAAAATGTTGAGAAAACATGGGTAGTGGTGCATAAATTTTATTATCCTTGAAATAACATAAGTAATATTATTGAAGAACTAATGAACAGGTGACATGTTGTAGAGAATTAGTCTTTCATTGTTTTCTTCTGTGAAGAATGTTGATTTGTACGATATATTAAGCATTTACATTTGGTTTGTTTCATAGCTGAAATATTTAGATATGAACAATTGAATACAGTATTGAAATATTCAATGTGCTGGCATTTGTAGTTTTGATAATTCCCATTGCTGGCAATGGAGTTGTGCCAGAGAAATCTGATTTCTACTGCAAATGGATTACCTAGCCAAGGCCTCAAACTCAAGGTATTTATTGAAAATGTCCTCAAATGCAATAAAAACATTATAACATCAAAAAGAGTGATTCATTGAACCAATGATTTAAACATACTGGTCTGCTTTGAACTCATGACCAGACAGAAATTTTCTTTTTAAATTGGCAGAGTAGTATCAAAAGGATAACCTCAAATACTGGAGAACTGCAGTGCAGCTTTCTGAAAGCAGGTGTCACTGCTCTGCCACTTATAACTGTTTCCTGTTAACTTTTCTCTCAGCTTTTTGCTGGGAAATTAATGCTGGATCTGACCCTTTTCTGGCAGTGAATATAAGCTATTGCTCCCTCATCTACTATAAAGAAATGTCTTTAAGATTTAGAATAGGAAAGGAAAATTCTGAAATAAATTATACAGTAGGGAAGATAATTCAGAAAGAAAAGCTACCTGTTGGAATTTCTAGTCTAAATGGTACAAGGTAATTAGAAAGAAAAGGGAATGGGGAAAGGAAAATAAATTTATTACTAAAGATGAGACATTTGACCAAATTGTTAAGTCTCTATAGGCCTAAGCTGGGATAATCAGTGGTCCTAGAACTCCAAATCTGGATAATGTATTTTTTTGTATCCTTCCTGGTCATCTGCACACCCTAACACATACATATGTATGTTAGACTTGGAGGCAGGAAGAGTTTCCTGTATTATTTTCTCTAAAATAGAAAAGAATTACTCATCTAATTGTGCTTTTGGTACTGGTGCCCTGTATATAGGTAACAATATACAATATAAGACTCCCAAAGTAGGCTTTGCTTCTGGTAGGTCTCACTCATTGGGTTTGCATACAACTGTCTATATAATATTTTCCATTTTTATTATTAGATTGCATAAAACATTTTTCATTGTTTTCTTTTGCTAAGAAAATGGAAACTTGAAAACGGTGATAAAATTGAAATATATGTGATATTTACATTATTAAAACCCTTTGCTGATCTAAAGTCTCAGGGCTACACTATATAGTGGTTAAAGCACTGAATAATGTCTTGGTCTCTTTCCAACTGTGAAATAAGAATAATATTTATGTCACATGTCTGTCTTGAATAGAAAATGAGAAAATGTACATATATAAAAGCACTTAGTAAACTGTAAAAGTAGAACAAATGTGAACTTCTGTTTGTTTAGATGGGTAGATGTGAACTGTATATATTTTGGACTACACATAAAATTGATTTGTGTCTAATATTTTAAATTATAGTGTATTCACACAGTATAAATTTATTAACTTAATAGCCTTTAAGTGTTTAAGCAGAGCTACAAATTCCTGAATTTGCGAAACCTAACATATTTTTGCCAGAACATGAGAAGTTGGCAAAATTGAGAATAGAAGAAACTGTCAACATTAGAATGAAATAACAGAAATTGTTTTCTAGAATTAAATAGGAAGCACTTTTTCTCAAAAAGAGAGGAATTAATTTCTGGTTTCGAACCAATTTTTACTTCTGATGTTTCATTTTTATTATAGTTGTGAACTTAAGTAATGGCTCACCGATATCAACTACCTTCCAACTTCTCATGTAAAAGATTGTTTCTTAATTTGATACATTTTCTAATTGTAGGCAAAAGAAGGTAGAAATCTCAAACAAGAGAAAGCAAGAGGTGTCAGAGATTTTGTACAAAGGCCATCCTGTCAATTTGCAGAACAGAGGGATGTGCTTGGCAGGGAGCCAGAAAAGCATTTCTGGACCCAACATGCAAAAATATTCTCAGGAATAGTTGAAAATATTTTATTATCTTATCCTAAATATGCTTCTTCTTTTTGCAGGGCATCACTTATGTCTCTGCTTGGATTCAAAACATTTCATTTTAGTTTTTCAGACTTTAAAGTTGGAAATACATTTGGATTCTTTAAAAAGAGTTGGTGTTCATGTGCGTGTCTATGTATATCAGCCCAGGCTTTCTCTCTGCCTTTCTGCTTCATTTACTATTCTTAGTGTTGGCTTATGGCTTTATAGTTGCAAAATGACTTTTGGAACTCCAGTCATCAAATATTATGTCCAAAACAGAAAGAAAGAAGGGCAAGAGAGTAGTATTTGTGTTAGTTCTCTTTTATCAGGAAAGCAAAGGCTTTCTCGTAAGATCTTACAGCAGATTTCTCCTTAAGGTCATTAGCTGGAACCTGATAACATAACTGCCTGTAGCTACAAGGGAAGTAGAAAAGGTGGGCAACAGGATGGCCTCAGTTGACTTTAGCCAATTTTGAACCAACACCTGAGGCTGAACACGTTGCAGCTAGAACAGAATCAGGGTTCAGTGAGCAAGGGGGACAGTGAAATTGAATAGGCAGGTAACTGTTTGCCAGATAATTTAACTATCCATCATTAGAGACTGGGAAGTTGGTTAAATTGTGATACAGTCCTACCATATACTTTGTAGTCCTGCAAATAAGATAGAACTGTACCCTGATACAGAAGAATATTCTTACTGTTGCTGATTTTAAAAAACATTATAGAAAAGTATGTATAGCACAATCCCATTTCTTATTAAAAATATAAGGGTACATAATTGAATTGTTAATACTAACTACCCAAGGAGTGAACAGACTTTCATCTTTTATTCTGTATTTGAACTTTAAAGCAGGTATAATTGTGTAGTTAACTTTGTGTAGTCATACACATTTATAGTAAGTAGGAATGTAACATCAGGAAATGGAGAGGGCTTCAGGGCTCAACCCCACACATTTTCCTCACTCTTGTATGCCCAGTTTCGTTTACCATCTATATAGTCATGACTTCCAGGTTGTTTTAGCCATTATACATACCTAACTCAGTCACTGTAGATGTAACTTATCCATATTTGAACTCATAGTCTTCTCCAAATCTGGTCTCTTCCAGTTTACTCTCTCAGCTGGCAGCACCATGTAGCTAGTTGTGCAAGCCAGAACCTAGGAGTCAGCCTCTATTTCACTACCACCACCTTCTCCTTACCTTTAATTTCCAATGTGTAAAATCAGCCACCATTCACTGGGACCATTCTAGTAGCCTTCTTACTGGTCTCCCTGCAGTCACTCTTCCTTCTAGTCCATCCACAGGTGTCTTCACAACTCCTATTTCTTCGTCTCCTCTTTAAGTCCTCCACTGGCTTCTCATTACTCTGAGGACAGAAAACAAAATCCTAGCCCATGAGACCCTAGCTAGCCTCTGCTAACTTTTCAAGGCCTATCTTGTATCTCTCTCTCGATCTCTAGGCTCCAGCATGCTAGCCTCTTTTTCACTTCTTCAAACATGCCATGCCCTTTCATCCCAGGGCTGCTTATATCTGTTATGTCTGGAATCTTCTTCTTCCGCCCTAAAATATTCTTTAGATCTGTGCTAGTTGATTCTTCTTCAGGGATGCTCCTTTCCTTAGATTAATTTGCCTTTGATAAATGTTCTTGAAAATCCCTATTTGTTCCTTTTAGACAACTTATTTTGGTTACAGTTATATATATTTTAGTGTGACTAGTGTGATATTTGTCTGGATTCTTAAGTGCTGTTTGGGCAAGACCTTGGTTTTTCTCACTACTGCATTCCTAATGCCTAGCATCAGGCCTGGCCTATGCACTCACAGGCATAGAAGTGAAAGCAAGATGGGTTTGAGGAACTGCAAATGGCTTGATACAGATGTAGTTTTATGTGACTGAGGAAACATGGAAGGAACTCAGCCTACATAAAGCAGTGGCTTTCAACCATTCTGACCATGATCCGTGGTAAGAAATACAATTTGTATCACAGCTTCGTATGTGAGTGTCTATGTGCGCATGTGTAATATGTTTTATATACCAGTTCTTAGCTATTAGTTCATGTAATGCACTCTTAGTTTTTTTTCCTAAGTCACTAATTCCAACTACTAAATTGATTTCATAATCCGCTAATATGTTACATCCTGCAGTTGGAAAAACATTGATCTAAAGCTTGTTTTTCAAATTGGCAGAACCTGTGGCATTGCCTTAGGAGCCACAGCTGTGTATGTATGCATGTGCTTGACGAGGACGAAAAAGGATTAGGATGCCAGACTGGTGACTCCATTTCTCATGCCAGTTCCAGATTGGGTCTTCATTGATCTGGTTTTCAATTAAAACTTCCAAATAGATTATATATGAAGAAAGGTTTTCACTGCTTAAAGAAAAGGGGGTGGGATTGGGAGAAGAACTGAGTCACTTACCCACAGCCATTTTCGCATATTTTGTTGAGAAATTTCGATTTCATCTTTTTGACAATGAGGAATTCCCTGAAGGATTTTAAACAGGGAAAGGCCCTCATTAGATTGCTTAATAGCAGAATAACTAGCTGATTGAAAAGAGGTAGATTGGAGGCTGACACACCTCCTTGAGGGCTTGTTTCATCAAATGTTTATTGAGCATCCACCAGGTGTTGTGAAGACCTGCGAAAGCAGGGACCTGGTTTATCTTACTCATTGCTGTATCTTCAGTACACACCACAGCATTGGATGCTTAGAAGGTAGGTGCTCAATAAGTGCTTGTTGGTGAGATGGATGGAACACATTTTTGTAGTGTACCAGGCACTGTGCTAGGCACTTAATATATATTATTTATTCCTGAGAGTATTTTATGAATTAGAAAACTGAGGCTTACAGAGGTTTTTATTTTGCTCAAGGTCAAAAAGCCTGTATGACAGTGGCAGAGCTGGAGTTTAAATCTTGATTCTTTTTATCCTAATGGGATGGTTAAGGGCACAGTCTAAAGAATCTGATTAACTAAGATCCACCACTCCAGAGCTGAGTGGTGTTTAAAAACTTAAACTTCTGTACCTTAATGTCTTTATGGGGTTGTTGGGAAGCTTAAATGAGATAATAAGATAATATGTGGCACTGAACAGTGTCTGGCACATAATAAGTCCTCAAATGTTAGCATTTATTAGTATTGTTATGCCATGCTACCGATACTAAGGGTGCAGTTGTACCAGAATCCTGGAATGGAGATGGTGGTTATTGAAGCCAGGGGAGTTGAGGGATGAGGCGAGTAAGTGGATAGGCCATCTTCATTCCTTGAAGTGATGATAGGAGAAAGGTGTGGACAAGAAGACTGAGTCAAG